ACTGGAGCTTGGTTGACTTACCCCAGGCTACCCTGTGTGACCTTCCACTGGAGCTTGGTTGGCTATCCCAGGCTACCCTGTGTGACCTTCCACTGGAGCTTGGTTGGCTACCCCAGGCTACCCTGTGTGACCTTCCACTGGAGCTTGGTTGGCTATCCAGGCTATATCTCCTCCTTTGTTTGAGACAGAGTCCAGGCCTCCAACTCATGATTCTCCTGCCTTGGCCTCCAGCATGCTGGAATTATAAGCATGTGACACTATGCCCAACTGGAAACTTCTGACGGGTGAAATCTTTATACACTGAGGAGCCTTGAGGCTGCATAAGCCCCCAGTGCGGGGGTGAGAGTATGTGTGTGTGCATAGATGTTGCCTGTGGGTGTGTCTGTTTTGTGTGCAGGAATCGTGTGTGCTATGCGTGTACATGGGTGCACATATTCCATTATGCCTCCTACACGACACAGCCCTGAGGCCTCATACAATGATTCTAAGGGGAGAGGCTCCGAGCAGCAGTTTTTGGCAGCTGGAACAGATCTGTTTCCAACTCTATCTACGTCTGAGCCAGGTTTCTGAATGATGGGGTCAGATCCTAGTAAGCAGCCAAAGATTCCTTTCTGTCTTGAATGAAGTGACTGATGTCACCGAAAGTTCCCCTGTGGTGAAAACTCCCAGCCCTGACTCTGCAGAACACACAGTCGGGGAAGCCTGAGAGGAAGTGGTGGGTGCAGGGGAAAGCCCTTTGGCAGGGTGTTCAGAATAATGGCAAGTTTAGAACATCTCTCTGTGTGTGTAGAGGGAGAAGCCAGGCAACTCCTTCTGCCCTCTCCTGAAAAAGACACACAGGCAGGGAAGCGCATCTCTCTGTCTCCTCAGAGCATCTCTGTCTCCTCACAGCAGCTGCTTTTCTAGTCCAAGGTTGAGTGGGTGGAGACCTAGGGGAGCACATGGAGGGCAGCGTCTCCTTGTGCTGGGCAGGGAGTCCACTTTTTGGCATCCTTCACTCTTTATTCTTCTCTCTACTTGCCTCTGGCCCCTGCTCGAGAGGTAACCATCTGATTGGCGTTACTACCAGACTTCCGGGTACCCACCAGCCTAAGGAGCACTCATGGGGGGCGGGGGGAAGTGTTGGTTTTCAGCTCACTGATGGCTCTCACAATGCTTCAGACAGGAGAAGATTCTGGACTCGGAAATGTTGACCAGTGGTCCTTGTCTTTGTTAAGACGACTACTTATCGCCTCTGAGCTTGTCATCATGCCCTGGGTGCAATGTCTCCCGGTAGGTAGCGTATCATCCCTGGTTTATGTTGGGAGACTCGGGCTTACCAGGCCGCTCAGCTGACTCTGTGGCAACTTGTTTACCACTCAGTGACTTTTGTGCTGTCGTCTGCATTTGGACTCCTGCCGTGGTCAAAAGGGATCATCCTTTGCTGAGGGGTGGGGCAATGCTTGCCAGACTCTTGTCATTGGCTCTGGTGGGTGGCTGTGTGTGGAGGGCTCCTTGGATTTCCGGGGTGCCCTTCCTCCAGGTCGATATGTGGCACTGGCTCAGTTGCTAGAGCCTAAACTGCTCTAAAGAATGACGGATCTGGTGTTGAGAACCGTGCTTTCTGAAGTTGACTGTGTCTGTTCCCAAGTCACAGCAGCTGCCTCAGCCTCATGTAGAAAGATGGTGTCTTAGGGTTTCTATTGCTGTGAAGAGACACCATGACCATGGAAAACCCTTATAAAAGAAAACATTTAATTGGGTCTCACTTACAGTTTCAGAGATTTAGTCCGTTATCATCATGGCGGGGAGCATGGCAGCGTGCAGGCAGATGTGGAGCTGGAGAGGGAGCCAAGTGTCCTGCATCTTGATTTGTAGGCTACAGGAAGTGAAGTAAGACACTGGGCATGGCTTGAGCATGTATGAGACCCCAAAGCCCACCCCCACAGTGACACACTTCCTCCAACAAGGCCACACCTCCCAATAGTGCCACTCCCTTTGGGGGCCATTTTCTTTCAAACCACCACGGAGGGTGAGTAGCAGAATCCATCTTACTGGGGTTTTGTTCATATCAGGTGAGACACTGGATATAAAGTACTAGGTTTAGTACCTGGCACATTTATCATGCTCGGTCAATGTTAATTTTGTTATTATTTTAGTGGATGTTCTAGGACTCTGAGAGCATAATTCTGTCACATTGCATGACCAGAGTGAAGATGAAGATGGCGGGCATCTTCAGGGGCCTTGGGAGCCAAGAATATCTTCACTCTTTCTGGCTCTTAAGCATGGATGACTGTAAGTACCACTCAGTGCGGAACCTACAAGTAGGCTGGGGATGTGCTAGGATGCTAGCTGAGGTTCTGAGCACGGTTCCATTGATGTTGAGCCCGTGCGGAGGCCACTGTATGAAGGTTAGGAAAGGTCCTTCCATCGTCATGTGTTCAGATGCCTAGAACCTTCGAAATCCCTCCATCTAATTTCCTTCCAGAATCCTATGGAGACCTTAGGGTCTTTTTCAAGGGTTAACATTCAAGCAAGCATCCCTTTGAAACCCAGAGTGATCACCCCTTGGCCACCAAATCCAGCCTTCAATGTAAAAAGAAAAGAAACGTATTCCTAGGCAAATGAGAATGCCTGTCCCTGAGCGCCTGCTAAGGCATCACCACAGTGCTGAGTTTGGGGTGACGTCTGCCTACTCCTCCCACCAGGGAAATCAGATGAATTGATTTGTTTTCCCTTACTTTCCAATCCTTTTGGACAAGCTTGAACCTGTCAAGCCAACTTGTTGCTTGCTTGGGTTTTTAACCAAGAACATGGATTTATGTTGGTCAGTGCATCCCCCGGTTTTAGCCACTGCCTACACCCAGGCTTTGGTTCACTAAACCTGTTAAAGGAACACCGAGTCCCATGACATTAATGCCACATCTTTCATCTTGCATCTGTTAGGTGTGGGTGTCCATACATAGTGTTTCTCAAAGTTGTCTGCACATCAGAATCTCCTGAGCAATATTAAACAATAAGGATGCCTGACTCCTACCCTTAGACATTCTTATTTGCTACATATGACATGCAACTTGGGTGAGAGTTTTTTAAAAGTCCTCTGCGTGATTTAATGTCTCCTGACATGTGGGAACCATCACTGTGAGAGCTGGTCCCAACACACGGGTCCCACAGAGCAGTGGCAACTACTTATCAGCATTCAGGTCAGAGCCTCATTCAGACCTCCTGAGTAAGAACCCGCTTTTGTAGGATCCTATGTTGTATGCCTGCAAAATAAAGCCTGAGCAAACCACACCTCCCACCCAGGACAACCATCAATCAATCTTAAGTAGTTCCTATCCAAACATATCACCAGTGCACAGAGACTGGAAAAGGCTGAACCAAGCTGAACTGATTTTGGGTGCATGCACAGTAAGGTGAAGCTGTGTCTTCAAGAGGACTTTTAAGGAGAATATCCTACCATCACATGCCTATGCATAAGTGGGCACTCATATGATTAAAACCAGATGTGTTATGGGAAGGGACATGAGGGACAGAAAATCCACCATCTGGCCTAATCTAACACCCGACACAAGAGCCACCCTCTCTATGCCCCTTAGTTGCCCCCTCCTCCTCCTCTGGCATTCCATAGTAGAAAGCCCCAAGCAATAGCTGGGACTTCGGAGTACCCAGTGACCTGTCGTTCTCTGGCAGTGTGTTCTGACCTTTTCTACTGCTTTGCTTTGAAGACAGTTTCCTGGTTACTTTGGCAGACCTGGGTGGGTTTTCATTTCATTCTTGGATAAAATGCAAAGAACCTAGAAACATCTGACCCTGACCCGCACCTCCAGCAACCATTTCTTAACATCCTTGTCTGTTTCTAGCTGTGCTCCTCCCTCCCCGCCCCCCACGTCCTGTGCAGTGCGGGCGTACAAACTCATGATCTGCTGTGGTGATGTTTTGTGTGTGCTCTAACAAATAAAGTTTGCCTGAAGGTCAGAGAAGCAGAGCAGCCAGCCACTAGTTCTTACCTCCAGGAAATCCTCAGCCGAAAGGGAAGGAGCTCCTGTCTCCTTCTGCCTTACATTCCTTTCTCCACCCAGCCATATCACTTCCTGTCTCAACCTCCCTAGGGCTGGGATTAAAGGTGTGTGCCTCCCAAGTACTGGGAGCAAAGGCCTGAGATCCCAAGGGCTGGGATTAAAGGCGTGAACCACCACTGCTTGGCCTCTGTGTTTAATCTAGTGGCTGGCTTTGCCCTCTGATCTTTAGGCAAGCTTTTTATTTGTTAGAGCACACACAAAATATCATTACAATCTGCAATGAACAGGGTCCAAGTTCTGTCTCTGCAGTTAGTTACCAAAAAGTATCTATGCTTTCCCAGCCCTCGAGTACTCATCTACGGTGTGGTGACAGTAATGGAGCTTGGCTTGAAGACCTTTGTTAGCATGGATATAAACTGCTCAGTGTATAGTATACACATAAACTATTCCATGGATATTAGTGATGGCTGTCACTGCCACGATGTTCTAGGATGTCAACTTCACTGCATGCTCTGTGTGTGACCTCTGTTGGTCTCAGCATCCTCATCTATAAAGGAGGGCCAATAACAGCCCCACATGGGGTTGTTGCCAATATTAAAGCAATATGTGTAAGACTGACTGCATTTGGTTGCATTTCATGTATGCTCCCTTACGCTTACGTTTTAAGGTTTTTGTAGCCAAAACTCTTCACTCACTATTTTAACATAAATACCTTAGTATTCCAGTCCATGTACATTTTAATTTTAGTTATGTGTATGCATATGTGTTATGTATGTGCATGTGAGTGCCGGGGCACATGGAAGCTAGAGGCATCTGATGTCGCTGGAGTTAGGTGGTTGTGAACCACTTGATGTAGGTGCTGGAAACTGAGCTCAGATCCTCTGCAAGAACAATATGTGCTCTTAACTGCAAAGCCATCTATCTCTCCAGCCCCCCCCCCCACCATGCTTCATTTTATTTCTCCTGGTTTCTTGCTTATCGTCCGCTATAGGTATGGAACTCCAGTTTGCTACAGTCTTTTATACAATGATGAGGTTCTTCAGGCAGTACCAAGAGCCAGATGCTGTTTATTGAACACCGTCTTTTCAATAGATTTTGAAAGCTTAGGGCTCAATTTCCCAGCACCTAAATGCTGTTTCATGACCATCCATAGCTCTAGTTCTGGGGGGTCTGATGCCTTCTTCTGACCTTGTAGACATCAAGCATGAAAATGGTACACACACACACACAACACACACACACACACACACACACACACACACACACACACACACACACGTAGATGAACAGTCTTATTAAATAAGAAACACAGAGCCAAATGCAGAGTTAGTAGTCCAAGAGGTCAGAGCAATAACTAAGAGCTAAAACCTTACCCTTCACTGCCGCTGCTGTCCTACAAGAGAGCTACTTCCTGTGTGTTTGTGCTTTTTATTGACTTTCTAATCTGCCTTCTCATTGGTTGTAAACCCAACCACATGACCCCACCTTCACTGCCCGTCTGTACAGACCTCCAGGTCTTCTATGGTTGGTATTGAGATTAAAGGCATGTGTCTCCATGCTGGTGGTGTCCTTGAACACACAGAGATCTGCCTGCCATGTGATCGGGATTAAGGGCGTGTGCTACCACTGCCAGACTTCTGCTATGGCTTGCTATTAGCTCTGACCCCCAGGCAACTTTATTTATTAACTTACGAATAAAATCACATTTCAGTACAAATAAAATATCACCATACACACACACACACACACACACACACACACACACACAGGCAAAATGCACACTACAAAATCAAATGAATAAATATAATTAAAGAGAGAGAGAAAGAAAGAAAAGCACACAAGCAAGCTGAGTGTTGTCTTTTGCTCTGACATAGCTCATTGGCATGTTCTAGATCAGTGATTCTCAACCCTCACGACCCCTTTGGAGGTTGAACGACCCTTTTACAGGGGTCATATATCAGAGATCCTGCATACCGGATATTTACATTACGATTCATAACAGTAGCAAAATTACTGTTATGAAGTAGCAGTGAAAATACTTTTATGGTTGGGGTCACCACAACACGAGGTACCATATTAAAGGGCCGCAGCATCAGGAAGGCTGAGGGCCGCTGCTCTGGAGCAAAGGTGTGATGGGTAAGTTTGAGGCTAAGACTCCTGCCAAGGATCCCTGCTGCAGATAGTGTCTTTGCACGAAGTTCTGGCTGGAATTCATGATGTAGGCCAGGCTGGCCTCAAACTTGCAGCAATTCTCCTGCCTCTGCCTCCTGAGTGTTGGAGTGACAGACAGACACCACCACTCCTGGTGTTTGAAAAATCCTTTCAGTGTATGCGCTTGCATTTGGAGTGGTGCCTGACGTTTCCTTTCAATTCTGCAGTGCTATGCACTGCTGGGTGCTGTAGTTCACTCATACCCCACCCTCCCCATCACCTAGTGTATCTCCAAGTAGTTCTTCACAAGCTTCAGATACAATAAAAACTATCATCCCTCAGGGTATGTGAGTGAGAACATTTTGTTTTTTTTTTTCTTCCCAACACAGTGAACATATAAGGGTCTCGTGAGATATACTTTAAATAGATTTAACCCAACATCTAGGAATAATCAACAAAATATAATCACAGGCATAAAAGAATGTGAAATGTTTTACATTAAAAACACGGAGACCTCATGCTTAATGCAGTGTTAAAAATTGACAATTAAGCATGTAGGAACCAGGAAGTTCAAATAAATGATTTCTCTGGTATGCATTTAGCCACATCCTGAATTAGTTATGAAATCCATTTAACACCACAAGCAGTGATGTCTTCAGCTAGTTTATTCAGAAGGGAAACAGGAATAAGAAATGCTTGAATGTTATATGTGTTCTATTCATGCGGTCAGGCCTTTTTTTTTTTTTTTTTTAGATTATTTTTCTGTGTCTGAGCGTTTTACATGCATGTATGTATGTGCACCATGTTTGTGCAGTACCCAAGGAAGCCAGAAGAGGGCATAATATCACCCGCAAGGAAAATCACGGAGTGTGAGCTGCCGTGTGAGTGCTGGGAATTGAACCTGGGTCCTTTGAAAGAACAGCCAGTGCTCTTAACGGCTGTGCTGTCAGTGCAGCCCGATCCAGTTAATTTGTTGAGGAAGGAAACCGAACTCTTGCCTAGCTGTTTGATCTAAGTATTCTCTCTCCTTGAACATTGCATCAGCCTGTCAATGAAAGAAAGACCTAACCACAAATGCAGCAGCCTTTGTGTTCTCTGGTCTCACCCAAAGACCACATCATGGTCTTTGAAAGCATTGTTCTGAAAACATGAGCACTTTGCTAACATCTGTCCTCACTCTTGTATGGGTACATAGCTCCTTGGTCACAGTAGTTGTAGCTTGGTCCCAAGATGAGCCAGGCATGCTGTGTCTCTACTCCATAACTGGGAGTTCTGCATGGCTCCGGCCACAGCCCGGACTCACTGGCTCCTTGATTCCACCCCAGGTGTCTTTCTTTTTCTCTGCTTGCCAGCAGCCCCTCCCTTCCTTCCCTCCTGGGAGGCCTAGGAGACAGGGGTTCTTTTGCTTTTTGAAATGAGGTCTCACTGTATAGGGCAGGCCAGTCTCCTGTTCACTGTGGTCCAGCTCGGCCTCAAATTTGCCATCCTCTTGCCTGAGTTTTCTGAGTGCTGGGATTGCAGGCCTGAACACCACCCCATTCCAGCAGATATTCATTTTTAATATATATCTATTTAACCAGAGCCTACTGGCTCAGGTCTGTAAGCCTAGCTACTCAGTAAGCTGAGGCAGGAGGATCACAAGTTCAAGGTGAGCCAGGAGATAGGGTTCACCAGGCTGACCTTGAACTCATGGAGATCCACTTGCCTCTGCTTTCCAAGTGCCGGGATTAAAGGTATGCATCACCAAGGCCTGCAAGAACAGGTTTTTGTAATCATATATATATTATCATATATAATATATATTATATATCATATATATCCAATTTTCATATATAATCCAAAGCTGATCATAGCGGCCCGTGTGTTGGGGTGGGAGTCTATCCTCAATGACTGCCAAGGCTCCCGATGCCTGTCCTGCTACCTAACAGTTCTCTCTTATTTCCCACCCCTCACTAGGCTTTGCAGGTTCTGTTAGCAAACAATCCTCCAGTCCATGAACATCTCCTAATGCCTTGCCAAGACATAGTCTATAGAACTCAAGACACTCACTCTCCCATCAGCCATCCACCCAGTCTCCGTGCTGTGCCCTCCAATACACACTCCACATTGCAGTCAGTAATAGACGCAAAGCCAGCCATGAGACACCTCCGTCCTCAAGCTTTCTCTCTGCTCCCCCCTCCCCCCCTCCCCCAGGACATTTAGAAACCCCTGCTGTCCTTTTCCAGGTCCCTCCCACATCACACTTGCAGTTTGATCTCCAGCTACGTGGAAATTGTTTTTCAGCTCCACGACAGTATCGTGATGTTCTTTTATTGAGGATGTTGGAATATGTCATTTCCTCTTTCTGACACCCTGCCCTCCCCCAACTCCCTGGCAGATTTTCCTTTATATCTTCTGTAGAAAAGACTGGGGCAATTGCTTACCCGTTACCTAGTTGCCATGCTCTGCAAACCTTACTCGGGCCGTACTGTGCCTGGTGAAGAGGCTATAGGGTTCTAGTCTTTTCTACAGCTTGCAATAGCCATACAGCATTCTGTCCATTATGACAGGAGTTCCAATAAGAAAGCCTGCGGGTGGGGCTTCCAGGGAGCTCTTTGGAAGGGCAAGTTCCTCTTCTGTCTCTCTTATTCTCTGAAATGCAATGGGGGGGCAAATGTTCCAGAAGCCATCGACGTCGGTGAAGAGACCGTGGAAGTGCCTTTTATGATGGCACGGCCGGAAGAGAGAGAGGCCCTGGGTCATCGATGACCTTGGAGTGGCTGGACTGTTGGCGTGGACGGTGACTCAGCAGCAGCCCGGGGAGCTCCCTTAGTCGTTTGGGAACCTCCATTCAGACAAAAAAAAAAAAAAACCCAAAACCCATCCCTGGATTCACCCCAGAAAAGAATTTCAGGATGAGCCAGTATGAAAGCAAAGTTAGATCTTGTTAAAAAGTCATTTTAAATATAGATTTTTAAAGCATAAGTGTTAAGAGAAGGGGAGGGTGAGCGAAGAAAGTAAGCCATACCCAAGACTGTGGGTACGGGCTTCTCTAAGACACACTTGGACTTCATCGTCTTCACAGAAGCCACACACTCCGGTGAGTTTCGAAGCTTTTATTTCAGAGGGTTGCTAGGAATTTTAACGAGACACCCAGGTGGCTCTTCAGGTGAACCCGACTGGACCACAACCGACAAGGTGAAACCAGATCACAGAAAGTAAGGAGAGCGCCATCGAAAACCAAGTTCATAGTCTTGTGTGCGAGACGCCCAGCCAGCATCTGGGCGAAGTGTCGACTCAAGATCACACACATTCAGGGCTTGAGCCTATGTTCTAGCCTGCTTTTCTGTTGCTATGAGAAGAACCTTGGACACACACACACACACACACACACACACACACACACACACACACACACACCCCTAGCACCTCAGATAGAATAAGAGTTTATTCTGGAGCCAAATTTGAGTGACCATAGCCTGGGAACCTATATTTAGCTTTCCCCAAATATAACATTCGAATGTGGAAGCAGTTTCATGGAGTTCTTATAGGAAAAGAACAAAGGGAATTATAAAGTTGTTTTTAAAATACGTGGGTGGAAACCTTAAGGGGACAGAGCAGACAGATGAACTCAGCTATCAGCCTCAGATGCAGCCAATAGTGTTCTTAGCCCCGGGTGGAGAAGAGGGTTATATTAATTTATTCCTAAGTTGTTTTTTTTTTAAATCTGTTTATCTTGAATTTTATTAAATCTGATACCGAGGAGGGCAAGGATTAGCTTTTGGCCAAAAATAAGTTGTAATTAGCCTGTCGGAGCAGCTGGTTCCCCTCTCCCCTTAGTCCCTAAAGTGTTTACCAGTCAATCAGATGGACCCATGCCTCCAGTTCCAATTTACAGAGGAAAGGATTTGTTTCTGCATAAGCTTCCGGGTGATAGTTCATCACTGAGGGAGGTCAGGACAGGAACTCAAGAAGCCCAATTTTAGGTACGCAATATGCCATATTTTAACAAATGTGTGCACTCATGTAACCATCATAAAAACAAAGATGTTGATCTTTCCAAAAGATTCTCTGCTGCTGTACCCAGTGGCAACCCAGTCCCCTGCTCCAGAGTCCCACCACCCTGGCCCCCTGCTCCAGAGTACCACCAACCCGGTCCCCTGCTCCAGAGTCTCACCAACCCGGTCCCCTGCTCCAGAGTCCCACCAACCCGGTCCCCTGCTCCAGAGTACCACCAACCCGGTCCCCTGCTCCAGAGTACCACCAACCCGGTCCCCTGCTCCAGAGTACCACAAACATGCTGTCTGTCTTTATAGATCATTTTCCTCTTTAGAGCATCCAGCGCGTGGAACCACTCTGCACTGTGTTCTGTGTCTGTCTTCTTCGGATCAGCATAATGGTTTTGTGGTTTGATTCATCTATGCTGGGAGAGCTGTTAGTTTGCTCTGTTTTATGACTGAACAATCCCACGATAAGAATACACCACAATTGGTTTACTTATTCATTTGTTCACAGATGTTTGAGTTGTTCCCAGTTTGAATTATTTTGTATAAAACCACTGTGAACATAATATGGGTCTTTGTGTGGACAAAGGGTGGATCTGATTCACATAAAATTTCTTAGGCCTGCTGGTACTAAGAAAATTTCCAGGAATTCAGTAGTCCTAGCCCATTGCAAAGTATCCCTCCTAAGGTAAAGAACAAGCTTTTACATCTAGTTCCTCTTATTACAGAGGAAAAGACATAATTCCTAGATTTGAAGAGCAGCATGTACTTTATTTGGCCATGGCATGGCAATCCAGTTATCGAGTAATCTAAAAAGCAGCCAGGATTTGACCCAGAGCAATGAGGGCCCTACACACAAGGTCAGGCTGCCATGTGCAAGGCCAGGTCACCACATGCAAGGCTAGGTCACCACATGCAAGGCTAGGTCACCACATGCAAGGTCAGGTCACTACATGCAAGGTCAGGTCACCACATGCAAGGCCAAGTCACCACATGCAAGGCCAGGCTGCTACATGCATGGTCAGGTCACCACATGCAAGGCTAGGTCACCACATGCAAGACCAGGTCACCACATGCAAGGCTAGGTCACCACATGCAAGGCCAGGTCACCACATGCAAGGCCAGGTCACCACATGCAAGGTTAGGTCACTACATGCAAGGTCAGGTCACCACATGCAAGGCCAGGCTGCCATGTGCAAGTCGCTACACTACTTGGGTCTTGAGGACCAAATAGAAACGATGTACTTGAAGTGCCAGGCAAAGACAGGGGTCTTGGGAAGACAGCTGCGGAGATCATCAGCCTAGCCCCTGAGGACGCTAAATCAAAGCCACGCCACTCTCTGGCGATGACCGGAGGCCTTTGGAGAAAGTTGATCTGCTATTGACTATTGATAATAAGCATCCAGCACAACACCGTGGGCCACTGTGTCAGCTTCTGAACCCGAGTTTTCCATTAGAGAAGTCACCTGACACAAGCGAGAAACTTGGGTCCTCACCGTCCACACAGCAACATTTCTGATAATTTCATACACAAATGCTATGAAATATGATGATGTCTATCCATATTGCCCTCCTCCAACTACCCCCATATACTCACCAACACACCCCCTCACAACTTCATGTCCTTTGTGGGGTTTTTTTTGATAACCCACTAAATCCAGACGGTGCTGCCCACATGCGCATGAGTGGGTTCGAGCACTGGAGTATGGAAAGGCGAGCCGTGGGACATCCTCAGTGAGGAATGAGTCTCCTCCTCAAGCACCTTTCACAGCCAATAGCTCCTCGGTACAGAGCTTGGAGACCATCTACTCCAGGAGTATGTCTCGATCTTGTGTAGGTCTTATGCAGGTGAAGTGTGAAATGATACTTGGGGTTGCTTGTTTTTTTTTTTTTTTAAACTATATTGGCACGTGACATTTAGAACAAAACATGCCTGTGGTCTCTTTGTTCGTCTCGTCGTTTATCTTCCAGATCAGTATTGGTCTGAATATTGTTTTGAGCAGCTGAAGTGAAAGCAAATTATTTTGCAACGATATCTAATTTGTACCTATAGACCAAGCCTGTGTCTTCCCGACTTCCCTAGGACTGGTCCTATCTCCTGTGCCCTGTCCCTCACCGTCACGCGATGGTTAATGCTTCTTTTAATGAGCGTGGGGGCAGCCTTGCAAGAGAAGTGAAGGAACCCCGAGGTGCGTGTGGAGGACACATGAATGCTGTTCCCTGGCAGCCAGGCAGAGTGGTCCCATGTTACCATGGCAACGGAAGTGCATTGATGCTAAATGTCTGAGCAACCTCCACGTTTTTAAATAGCAGCTGGTCAGTGCCACTGCCGTTCCTGGATTGCTCTCTCTCAAGTCACTGCTTGGTCCCTGCTCTCTGTTGACAAATGGCTGTCCTTCACAGTCACACCACTAATAGCACGCTAATTAATGAATATGCTAATTATCCTTCCCAACTCCCAGGATGTTTGTTTAAGTGACCTGTCACACACAGTGATGCAGCTAACGTTGAGTCCCGAGGGGCTGGGCATGAGACAGTGGCTTCATAACCTTGGAGTTGTGGGGTATTTCTGGTGAAATTGCCTGAACCCAAAGACAGGTGTCTTGGGGACACGTTATTTCCTGCAACAAATGTATGTTTTCCTTTTAAAAGAATCTCTCTTCAGAAGCAGAGAGGCGTGGCCCAGTTGTTAGCCCCTGGGAGGTCTGCTAAAGCAGAGCTGTAGAAAGACCAGGATTTCCCAAGACCCCCAGATTCCACAACAGAACTTAAGAGTGGTTGGACCTCTAGGTTCTGCAGCGTGATCTCTCTCTCTCTCTCTCTCTCTTGGTTTGTGTGCACGCCTTTAATCCTAGCACTCGGGATAACTTTTTTAAAGATTATTTTATTTTTAATTATGTGAATCAATCCCCCCCCCCGTGTGTGTGTGTGTGTGTGTGTGTGTGTGTGTGTGTGTGTGTGTGTGTGTGTGTGCATGTGAGTACAGCAGCTCAAGCATCAGATGCGGGATGCTGGGGATCAAACTCAGGTCGTCTGCAAAAGCCATCTTTGCAGCCCCTGGTAGGGATAATTCGTCCCCTGGAGGGCTGTACGGAAGGACGGCTGTGGAAACGTTTGGCAGAGAGCCGGGCCCAAACCGCGTCCCAGGACACAGCTACTCAGTGCCTGCGGATGTAGGCGGTGGAGTCCGATTGCGCAGGTGCTGCAGCGGTGTGGCATGCTGCAGGTCTCCCTGCCGGGAAACCCGACCAGCGCTACCTCCCGCCGCACCGCTGCCCTTTTGTTCCGTCTCAGCAGCTCTCTATTGAGATAAATGGCATTTCCAGACGCTTCACCTCTGATAAGTGCTCCTCTGCTGCCGTTGCCAGAATCTTAATGTGTGCTCTGTGATTTAATGGCCATGTAGGCTGGCTATTAACACGCTCTTGGGTGGAGTGGACTTGTGTCTCCACCACAGGCTCTCCACGCTCATTTGGTGACGCTGGGGAGCCTAGAGGGGGGCACCCCTGGACCACTTACCAAAGGTCTTTTCAGCCTGCTGTATTGCAAGTGGTTGTGCGCTCTGCTCCCTGTGTGAGGCTCTTGAAGGTTTAGGAAGCAGGCAAGGGCCTCCCCTTCCTGTGTCCCAGAGCTGGGAAGAGTCCCAGTGAATACTATTCTCTATGTGGGGCCCCTGAGCACCCCTTTGAACGTAACCACTAGAGCAGGAAAGAGATGCAGATGAGCTTCAAGACAAGTGTGCGATCCAGAGACGTTTAAAAACTGAACGTTGGCAGGCTGGAGATGCCGCTTA